ACAAAATTTCCGCTGGGCTTGTAGATTTGGATTTCGACAATCTTTTCAAAAAATCTACGACAATCGGTCGTACGAGAGGCCATAACTACAAGCTTCTGAGGGAAAAAACGAATTCCTCTGAATTTCGTAGTTCGTTCACACAAAGAATTGTAACCCTATGGAATGACTTACCTCCTTCTGTGATTAACTCGAGCTCTCCCTAGCGCGTTTAGGGCAAAGGTCAAGAAGATTATGCTATCGCAAGGTTGGTTCTGAGAGACAGAAAAAAACGAGCTTTTGTTTACAAGACAGAGAAGCGATTTACTCATTGGTTCTCTAGTCTATGGAGTTGTGGAATGTGAAAAGCGATTGTCTTTGGTTTTCCTAGTCTATGGAGTTGTGGAATGTGAATTTTTATGTTCTTTTTTTTGTTGTCGTTCATAGTTTCTCCTGTGTTGACTAGCCGTCCTTTTTGAAGCTGTGCAGCTTTGGGAGTTGGGCTTCGACAAGGTTGGCGGACCTACTAAGTTGGTATCCGGAGCTCTATCGCGCCTCATGAGCTTGCAGTGTTGGCGGCCGCTGCCCTTCTGCGTCACTCCCACTCCCTCTCCTCGCAGTTCGGCTTCTTGTTACCTCAATAGCTTGAATCTGTTGTTTATCGGTGATTCGCTCCTAATAATCACTTTTTCATTGTGTTACTTGTTTTCGGTTCCGATAATAAATCATAAATAAATCATAAACAAGAAAGCGTGTTTCCAACTAGTCATGAATTGAAAGTCATGTCACATTTTTTCGAAGGTACGTAACTCTGCCATCTACTGGTTGTGTTACTGTCATGGCAAAGCTTGTTCCTTCCAAATGATGATCTTCTCTGTTTTTTTTTCACAAGCTCAGGTCCCCCGCATTTATCTGAGATCTCCAGTTTGGTGAGAATTCCTCGATGAGAACACTAATCGAAGAATGTGGGCATAGCCAGTGGAGAGACAGGCGACTCCCTCAAGGTTGCAGACCAACACGCAAGAATCATGGAAGAATATGCCTCGGCGATCTGGCATGGCCTTCTCCTTGGCCCGGGATGCCCACCCAAATAGCAGAGAGAGCGTTAGCATTGAAGAGGGCACGATGAAAGTCGCATCAATGGGAAATCAAAGGGCAACGACGAGATCCCATTTCTTGGGTTCCGGGTTGTTTCACATGGTTACTTCTTCATCTCCACTTCATTGAACACACAACTCTACCCCTAAACTCAACAGGCTACCTTTTCATCGTTAAATCCGCCTTCAATTTCTGCCACGTCCTGTGATCAAGGTAACCTAGCGGTCAAACTTTGCTCGCTGAACCATTTATGCATTATACCAGTTATTTGATGCAGTGTTTGGAAGTTTAGGACTGTCCCGTATGGGTGCTCTGGAAATCCTGAAAACCACATAGTCCGACGATTCCATGATAGCTGTGGATGCTATGTAACTGTGGGTGTTCGTACGTTTCCAATCACAGAAAAATGACGCACTCTCCGTTATTAATTGTTTTCGCAACTATTTACATAGTGATGGTTGGTAATTAGCCACTCAGTATACAAAGGCTCTAGAATGTGGCATACATATTATCCTAGGTTAGGGCGGAAGTGGTGTAGTGGCAAGTGGCACGCTTACCACGCGAGCGGTCCGGGGATCAAATCCTGGGTCGTGAGTCGCCCGGGCCAACCAAGCCTTCCATCCCTCCGGGGTCGGTTAATTGGTACCAGACTTGTCTGGGAGGATAAAAACACACTGACTTGTACATCGGCTGGCCCCCGCAAGTCATTGTATAGGCCACATCGCATTCAAATGCCACTGCGAATGTACAAATGGAAGTAGAATGCGTGCCGCATCCCAAAAAGGGATTGATCAACGGCAAATGCTTTATCCTTTATCCTTTTATATCAGCTCCAACCAAGCAAGAAGAAAGAAATATAGGGGAAGTGCACCAGGATCTCCCACACGGGGAAAATCCATTCTCCACCGAGCGAAGATATCAAAGCTATATCGTGCAAGCTTGAAGCCAGGGGGTCGTTAAGCTTTTGCTGATATACCCCCCCCTCCTTACGTTTCCGAAAAAGCCCTATCTGTTCACCCTCCTGTGAGCTCGGCAAAACTCCGGACTGATTGATTAGCTCGGTCAGAGACGGGTGGACAGGAGGCGGCGTGACTTAGGTATGGCCAGGCGAGAGAAAATATAGTTCAAGAACAAGAATCAATGGACAGAGGGTTTCTTGAAATCTTATTATTCTGAACACCGCTGAATCCTCTCCAAACTTGGAACATTCACTTATTCAGAGATCTTCAATCTAAGGAACAATCATCATCCCTCAACTCGAACCAGGGTTCAAAGATTATCGATTGTTCGAAATGACTGAAAGCATGCGAAAAGTCACGTTTTCAATTTATTGGGTTGTCCAGAAAATCCTGCGACACTTTGTCCAAGATTTTTGAATATACCTTTTTTGTTGAATGGGATATTTAAATAGCATGATTATCACGGGTAGCACGCGAGGAGACGTGTACTTTTTCTGGGCAACTTCTCAATCCTCTTACTTTAGAACCGGGCGTTTGCTTCAAAAAGGAGCATTTCATCCAATTTTTGAGGTGACTTCAATCAATGGATTTTTTCTCTTCGAGGTAGCGGTATCCCTGCTATATATTGATTGTCCAGAAAATCCTGGCGACCTTGTCCAAAGTTTTTTTGTTTGAATAGGATATACCATGGCTACGCTTATCACCGCGCTAGCAACGATAGAATAATCTCAATCCTCTTACTTTAGAAATCCGGCGTTTTTTGCTTCGAAAAGAAGCGCTTCATCCAATTTTCGAGGTGACCTCAATCATTGGATTTTTTCTCTTCGAGGTAGCGCTTCAGTGTATAATTACGCAATATTTAGAAACGACTAAGTCAGGCGAGTAAGCCAAGCACTGCAGAATTTCCCGATCAAAACCCACGATCTCCTCATGTGTAATCTTCGCCACATACAGATGCGGGTTAGGGTGGGGTAACACCGTATCGAGAATTTCTGCGTGATTTGACGCATGGCTTCGGCCAAATTCCGAAGGTTGTTAAAGCCGACAATGGTCGATACCCTGGTGCAGGTATCCAGCAGCTTTCTGTAGCGAATCAGTTTGCAACCTCATCAGAAACACTAAAAAGTCCTTCTTGACGAAGGCCTGCTTTCGTTCCTGCGGGTAGCTTTCCTCCTTGTCGAATCCAGTAGTGCTTATGTGTATAGTTTAGTCAAGGCCAGAGCTATCTTCATTAGCCATCATTTTTGGAGGTTCCTTTCGATGCGAAAGAAGAAGAGAAATCTGAATCATGGTCACACGGTTCGCCTCCCAGACTGGCGCAACCCATGTGGTGTCAATGGCGAACATACTGATCTGTAACCGAGATCGTGCAGATCCTCGACAATTGTCGAATGAATGCACATAAGCGTTGTTGTTAACCTACTACTGGTACCAACCGGCTGCGCCTCTTGGAAGTTGAGTAAACGCTTGTCAGTCATCGTCTACTGCCGTCCAGCTCCGTGCCCCATTTCGAACAAAATATCTCCAGTTGCGAGGGAACAAGGCCAACGGGACACCATGGCCTAGTGAATGACATCCCTCCTGACTACAGCACAGACTAGCTGAGCGAGGGAGTACACAAACGAGGTGGCTTTACAGGAGCTCGAAAAATAAAACAGGTCAAAAGATGTGTTGATCAGAGACAAGTTTGAAACAGAGTAAACGCGCCGCACGTAGCCTCCATTCACGCTTCTGCCGAAACCTCCGAAGATACACTGCAGCAATCAAATACCAAAACTACAGGAGAGAGTTTTGGTCTTTTCCTTACGAACTTTGTTTAAAGTGTCGCAGGATTTTTTATACAACCCAATATAATATTTAAATAGAGTCCTACTATGTATGTATAATACGCCAAGCGGTTGTGTGCATTTGTCTGTGACAGAGAATTCATGACTTCGTTTCCAGTTGTCAAAGAGTGTCAAACTCGGAGAGAGTTAAGGGTAGGGTGAGCGAAAGTGGTGGCTGGTGATAAGAGCGAAAACGTGCGTCAAAATGGCAATCCCTCCAGTTACGTTACGCGCTTCGCGTGACAGTAACATTCTTGTGCTCCTTGTCAGCTTACTTGCATGATAGGTGATGTGAGACGTAAACCAAGGTGGTTAATAAAAGAAGAATCAACTGTTAAGAACTGATGAACACCCCTAATTTGGTTGAAGCCGTTGCGGTGACATCAAAGTCCTGGCTCTTTCACATGGTGTGGTGTTTTGAACGGAGACACTGACGATAGTGTGATAGAACACTTTGCCACGCGGTAACTGATTTATTGCCAGACCTCAAACTTGGGTAATTAAACGAGTAACGACTAACTACTAATCAATAAAAGCACAAATAACATCAAAACCAACTAGATATAAAATAATACAAGTACAAATACAGTAAATATAGATGAAAAAGGGTTACAAAGATAAGCAGAAATCAATAACAGAAACCGAAATCTACCTGCACCAGATCGCACTCAAACGGTCAGAACAAGGCACCAGATAGCACCGGATCGCACCAAAGCACCAATATAAGCACGAACTGCACCAATGCACCAATATAAGCACGAGCTGCACCACAGCACCAATATAAGCACCAACTGCACCACAGCACCAATATAAGCACCACCTCACTGTACTGAAACAAGAGATTACAGCTAGAAAGCAAGAAGGCACCAAAGAGAACGAAAGCGCACCTAATCCGACGAGCGGACGGTTGGACTGAAGCTTCTTCGTGGCCGCGGCGCGCTTATATGCCTATCATATCTATGTTGTGAAATCTCCGAGAGAATTCTGTAGAAGTGGTAATGGATGGGAACGGATAGACTGTAAACAAAGATGAATTTTCTCTACTATACAACTTTGAAGAATAAGACTTGCACAAACTTAATTCTAAAAAGACCTACAGATGATAAATGTTTATCACTTTGTGATACTGCGCGCCGACCAGCTAACGTGATGGTCCGCCATAATGCTGCTCCAAATCTTCCAGTTCCTGCTGAAGCAGTCTGAACCTCGCCTCTTCGCGCTCAGCTTTTTCAGGTGTCTCACATAATGCACTGTGATGTTTCCGAGTGAAGCAGTATTTGCAAAATGGTTTTTTGCGCCAACATCGATCCGTCGAATGCCAAGTATCCAGGCAGTAGTTACACCAGACGCGTTTACAGCGTTCACTCACGATGCTTACGAAGGGGCAGTTATCACTGTAATGTAGTCCTTTACGGTCACAAAACGAACAACGCAAGAACTTATCTTCCTCCCTCATTTCCATAATGTACGCAATTGTACGTCGGGGACAATGTCGGTTTGCTCGGATGTCTTTGCTCAACCATTCGAGCTCTTCTACGAGCTTCCTTCGTTTCCTTTCGGGCTCAAGAGGATCCGGAGACTGTCCCACCGTGTCTTTCTTGCGCTTCGATCGGCTTCGCCTTTCTTCCTGCGGAGTCTCCTGCTTGGATTCGTGATGTCTGTTAGATTGGTCCTCGTTGTGCACCAAAGTCTCATCATCCCGACATTCGAATTCCTGCTCACAGTCATAATCATCTCCAAGATCCAGTAAGTCTTCTTGTACTTCCTCGCCTCCTCTAGGCACTGTGTCTTGCACTGGATCCCCGGTCCTCGGTTGAGTCTGACCTGCTTCCACCTCGTCGAACTCTCTCGACCCTGTGTCTTGCACCAAATCCTCGGTCTGATCTCCTTCTACCTCGTCGAATTCTGCGGGCCCTGTGTCTTGCACCGCATCCTTGGTCTGATCTGCTTCTCCCTCGTCGAATTCTGCGGGCTCCTCGTTGGTTTCTTCAGACACTGTGTCTTGCACCACGTCCTTCGTTACGTGTTGCTCCGTGAGAAGGACCCTTTGCGCTTCGGTTGCAGCCTGCCTCTGGTTGAGGATGGCGATGTCTTCTCGTATCGCCTTCAACACCTCTGCGATTTCTTGAATCTGCCTTTTTTGGGTTTCCACTTCTTGCTGCAGATGGTTATTCGACTCAGTCATGTCTTGGCAAAATCCGCTGACGATCTCAATTAGCTCTGCAATTGGGTTTGTATGTTGTTCCAATGACAACTGGATTTCCGCATTTTTCATTTCTCCCTCAATATTTCGCAGCAGTTCATCAAGGAAATCCATCTCTTTCCTTGTGTACTCAACGATAAAGGCCGGTTCTATCGACACTCCTTCGATGTCCGTATCGTAGAACTTCTGTCTCGACTCATCAGTAGCTGCTTCTGCCAATATCAGGAACTTGTACGCCTCATGAGCCATTGCGAGGCCTTCCATCGCGCCTCGTATGCACCCCTTGATGTGGTTTGCTTTTAGCCAGACACCTTCCATCTTCGACTTGTAGAGGGTGGCCTCCGCCCGCGCATAGTGGCTGGTCCGAGCACCTTGAACCTCTGTGAAAGCATCTTGGAGGTGGTTCTCCTTTGTGAGACGGAGTATTTCACGAATGAATTTTCGGATCTTCCTTTGAACTTCTGCTTCTGATGGTAGAGTTGGTGCTAATCTTACGCACGACCTTTTAAATTTGAGTTCATCAATCAGCTTTCTTTCGTGGTAGCTTCTTTGCCTTTTCAATTCTTCGTACGTCTCTTTCTGCGCCATGATCCTGGAATAGCGTATCTGATGTTATAACAGAAATCAAATCTATTATATCGAAATCTCATGCACTACTATCCTCTAACTTTTTTTTTCCCAATGTGCACCTACGTAGTTCCAAATTCAAAGTGTTTTTTCACTATGCTTCCTTGTGCGCTTGTTACAGCAGGTAGAAATAAGAGCATAGCGTATTGTGCGGAAAATCAGCTTCATTATCCATGTGGTGACTACCAAAATCGCTTTGAAACAGGTGCATACTATCCGCTTGCATGCTGTAGCTAGAAATAGGTAGGTCAAGATGAGCGCTATTCCCACCGTTGCCAGTGTGATAATCACAATTTTGTACCAATGTAAATAAACGTCAGCTATGTGCCCGAAGTCTGGCCACTGGAATCCTGACGTGTTGTTGTGGTCATGTTGGAAGGAGTACTTGAAGCCGTCATGCACGTTGTGAACATACTTTAGTATTCCGGTAATCTCAAATGAAGATGGCTTCGATCCGCATCTCACTGAACATTGAATCCTTGTTTTTGCCGCTGAGAGATGAAATCGTAGCTGGGAAGATTCTCCAGATGGAGAGCACGGTACTGTAAAGATGTCGATTCCGCAGTCAACTTCTGCTGATATAACTTCTGATTTGGAAATACACTGAATAAGAGCTGCTGCGCCCTTCTTGCAGTTGTAACATCCAGCAATAGAGGTATCATCAACGGTACACTGATCTTCCATAAAATCCATTGCGCTATCATCCAGGATTTCGTCCGTAGTCAGTAAGATTTCCGCGGATACTCCTTGTTCGATGTGAGCTATTACAGCATGTGTTGAGCTTCTCGTCAGTTTCAAGCCTGGTCGTATAACTGGAAGCACATTACTGATATCCTGAAAATGTTGGGACATGTTGTCATCTTGGCATCTGCAAACGACTTGAAATTCCGCTGGAGTGCAGTCACAGGTGTCTTGCAGACTGCAACGCAGGTCTTTCGCGTGTTCGTAAGATGAGCACATAAGCATAGGTTGTTTGTTTGCGTCCCATAATGCTGTGGAATCTCCGGTACTTATGAAAGCGGTATTCAAAGCCGGTATCGGTGGCAGCGCCAGCACACTCAGGGTAAAGCTCAACGAAGAAAGCTGCACTGGAATGTTAGGCTGTAATGCTAGAACATACGTTTTGGATGTCCTTTCAGTTGCTCGTTTTATGTGCACCTTAACCTTAACTCGTTCTTGCCAGCGACTGCATGAGAAAATCTCAAAGATCCTTTCATCTGCCGGAACAGCGTAAACTCTGTAATACAGACAGCCAGAACTTGGCCAGAAACAACCCCAGCCAAGCCCTCCACAGGATTCGAAACACCCGGTTATTCCTGGATATTTGTTTCCGAGTTCAAGCTCTTTCACTTTGCTGTCTGGGCTAACATCTGCGCATTTATTTTCTCTGCACGAACCCTTTGTCGGGCAACGCTTGCTGTCGATGACTCTTCGTGTTGCGTTCCTCGTGTAGATTATGGTCGACTTCTCGCAAAGCAAATGTGCGCTTTCCCAAGTCATCTGTAACTCCAAAACGGTAGATTCATTGCGCAAAAAACGAAGGCATGCATCCTTTTTGAAGCTGTTAACTTTCAGCACTGACACCATTTCCATTTTGCATATTCTTTTCCCTTCCAAAACGGTACAGCTTCGCATATGGTGGGAAAGGACGTTGACTATCTGACATGCGTAACATCCTGAACAGAGAGCCGCAATTGCCAAGGCTGCTAATATCCTTGTGCGTGTTGGCCGTCTCCTGATGCAACGCCTGACTATGTTACATAGGCATTTGAAGATAATGTATAAGGACACATAACATATTCCGCAAAGTCCTTTGGAAAGGATCTGGAATGGTCCACCTATGACAACCGGGACGCAGCACATCGTATGGCAAATGATGATAATGATGTACAGTAATGCCCCAACTCCAAGGATCGCTGATACTGGCCAACATTCGGGGTTCAAAAGGTTGGCAGAGCATATCGTGCACGTGATTGCCGGGCAGAATGGTAGCGCTGGGCACATCCTTTCCACGATGATGAATTCATTCTCGTGACGAATCTTCCATTTTATTTCATAGTCGTGGAGGAGTATTTCCGATGGTAATTTGATGATCTTTT